GGAGGAATGTGAAAGTTTTTGAAGACAAATTGGTCCCTTTGACTGGTAAGTTATCAATGCTAAAAGGTCTTGCAGTTGCATCGCATAATGCTGTCACAATTCCTTGCACACGTAGTAGTCCAAATGGCTATAAAAGAGAAATGCTAGTAGAATGGCAAAACCCGCCGCAAGGTTGGGTGGTAATAAACTCAAATGGCGCATTACGTCACAGTACTAATTTGGCTGCTGCAGGTGGTGTTTTACATGATTATAACGGATATTGGTTAGGCGGCTTTGCTGCAAAGTTGGGGAGGTGTTCTTCCTATAGGGCCGAATTATGGGGAGTCTTACACAGTCTTCATATAGCAAGGGATAAAGGATTTCGTAGGATATGGCCACAGGTGGACAATAAAATCGTGGTTCAAGTAATTATTGCTGATGCATCACATCCATGTGCAAATTCTGACTTACTAAACACTATTCGCAGATTATTACAACTTGACTTCGAGGTGAAGATTTCTCATATTTATCGAGAACGGAATATGGTAGCAGATGGCATGGCCAACATTGGATTTAATTTAGATAATAGTTTTAATTCTTATGATGTACCTCCTCCAGAAGTCAGTTTTATGTTGTTCAATGACTTGTTAGGTGTGTGTTTTCCAAGAATGATTAGAAATTAATAAAAATTCCATTAAATAAAAAAATGACAGATTTTCATTAACTTTATTACTTTATGACAAACAATCAACCAATTTGAAAATGCAATGATAAAAAACAATAAAATTGAAGTAAAATAACAAGATTTAATATTATTCATAATACCAAGACAAATTTGACATTAATTTCTTAATTTTAAGCAAGAATATTTTCAAAACTATAATAAATTGAGAATATGCCTCGCAATGATGTGGTCGACCTTTTAATGTTCTTATATAAAGGCACTTTTCTATTTATTCTTAATAATTTTCAGTTTGTACTTGATTTACAATAAATTATTTTCAATTAATTTAATTTATTTTCATTGTTTAGGTTTATGTCTCTTCTATTATCTTTCTTAAACATACTAAATCAGTTGAGTTTTAGGCTAAATAATCAAAAATATTTCTCTCTCATCCATAATCTTACACTTCAAATCTTAAAATTTGAACTCAACAGCTCTGAGTTTATTTTTCTTTTTAAGTTTCTTTATGTTTTTTAAATCTTAAGATCCAAAACATTGGAGACATTTTATTTGAAAATAATGAGATAAGCAGAAATTTAAATTTTATTAAATTTTGTTATTATACTTTCAATTTTGTTGATTTTTGAAGAAAAAATGTAACCGAATTAAAATATTTCACAAAACATTTTTGTTAATATAAATGATAAATTGTATCTCTGTATTTTTAATTTCGTTATTTTTTAACAAACAATAATGAAATGAGATCTTAAATGAAATATTTTGTTTATATAAATTACAAATTTTCATCAACCTTGTTACTTTATATAAAAAAAATAAACAAAATTGACAAATACAGTCATAAAATTTAAAAACATTGAAGAAAATTAACTAAATTCAATATTAACTTATAGCATAATGACAAATTTGACTTTAATTTCTTAAATTTAAGCACGACTGTTTTCAAAAACATAATAAATTGGGAATATGCCTTGCGATGATGTGGTTGAACTTTTAATGTTCTTAAATAAAGATATTTTTCTATTTATTCTTAATATTTTTCACTTAGAACTTGATTCACAAAAAAAAATTCAATTAATTTAATATATTTTCATTATGGAAGTTTATGTCTTTTGTTGTTTTTTTCTTAAACATACGAGATCAATTGAGTTTTAGTCTAAATAATGAGAAATATTCCTCTCTCATCCATAATCTTACTCTTTGAGATCTAAAAAATTTGAATTCAAAACAGTGTTCCTTTCATAATTTCTAATAATTAGGATAAACATTAATTTCTAATAATTTCAAGAGTTAAAACTTAAGACTCAGGTTGAAATGAGTTACCTTTTTCGTGCAGTTCAATATGTGCCAAAAATAATTAATTTATCGTAAGGTCCAAATTAAATATAAAATTTGATTCTAATTAATAGTACATATTTCATTTTTGTAAATTTTAAATTAAAAGATAAAACCAAAGCTGTGTTAAAAGTATGGGTCTTTTAGAATTCTTTTTAAAGTTAAATACGAAATGTAATTTCATATTAACTAATTTCTAATATTTTTTAAATTCTTATTGTGGGATTTTGATCTATCTAATTGTATATAACAACAAGCACGTCTTGTTGTACAAAACCAAAAGCCATGGGATACACGCCATACCCCTCTCCCCATTTTATTTTATATTTAGACCTTTAGCAGGTCGGTTTTATACCTTACGGGGATCTCCAATCTTATTCCCTATTTCACATATTTATGCGGATCCATCCTTTTCAATTACTTTTTCAGTATTATAACACCTTAAGAAAAATTTTCAATTTTTTAAAAAATTTTAAATAAAATTTTATTTTTTTATTACATTGAATCAAGTTATTATATTTTTATTTTAAATTAAATAAGTTTTTATGATTAATAGTTGACTAATTATTATTAGTGAAAATATCAATTGTCATTTTTTATATCATGTTATACTAATGCGACATGTTAATATGTTATCGTACATGATAATATGACATGATGACATATAACTTAATAAGTGACGAATTCATTAATGATAATTAATTAACTATTAATCATAAGAATTTATTTAATTAAAAATAAAAATATAAAAATTTAATTAAAAGCAACAATATATATATATATATATATATGAATGTTCTTGTTTCATGATTTTCTCTTTATTTTTTTAGGATAAAATACACAAAATCCCTTCAACTTTTGATCATAATTCAATTTGAATCTATTAGTATTGAAAAAAACAGTTCGTCTCAAAGGTTTATATATTGTTAGATACATAAATCCGGCTGTTATCTCGCTGTTAGTGGTTTTGTTTATTTAATAATGTAGCAATAATTTCATACTTATTTTACGCTCTTATTTACTGTTCACCTTCTACAATAAACCATGAATGCTCTGCTCTTTCAAACCCCCAAACCCTCACTTCTCCAAATGCTAATCCCTCTCCTCAAGACACTACATTGAACAATTTTCTTGGCAGATCTCACTGCACCATTTATTCTATTTAAATAACCCAATATACTTTTACGATCTGTTGGGTGTTATGTTTGGTTGTTTGCTGCTTTTTCAGTGTTGATCTTGTGTATTACAGGGCGGAAGTCTATTTTTCTGGTGTGGATTAAATCTGTCTTTGTATTCCGTTTGTAAGTGTGAGTCAAAGTCTGGTTATGTTGCCGATAAGCAAGTTGGGGCGAGTGTTCTGGTCTGTTCATTTCGTTGGCTGGGTTGCTGTTTTGCCCAGCTGGCTGGCTTTGTTCCTTCTTGGTTTTATCCAAGAAGTTGTGTATCAATTTCTACTATTTAATAAAATGACCAAATTTGATTGAGAAAAAAGAAACATTTGCTTGCCACTTGGAAGCTATTAGAAAGGAAACATTTGTCTCGAATAAATTCATATTTTCTTGGTATTTTCAGTGTCCATAAATTATTAGCCAAGTTGGTTTATGTCATAACCATCCAATTCATGCAATATTTTTCTTTTTGACCCACACTTGCTTGCTTTCAACGGAGTTAGCTAATTTTTATTTAAAAGGTCAAAGATTAAGAAGAATAAAAGTTAGAAATTTTTAAAATTAATATATTGAATTTAATCATTAATAATTAAAAAATTTATAATAGATAATAATTTTATATAACATGTAAATAAAAAAAATAAAAATAAAAAACTTATAATAATATTCTAAGAAAGTTTTGTTTAATGATGATAATATCTTTTTTAATATAAACAATTAAATTATTTATAAGAAACTTATCATCTATTTTGTTTCGAAATCTTACCTTTTTCAATATAAACAACTAAAAAATTAATATAGACAACATTCAATATTTTATTTTATTATATTTAAATTTATAATATTAAATATTAAACTATAATGTATAAAATATAAATAGTTGAATACGATATATAAAATTAATAATTTCTTCTTATACTCAAGATAATTTCTTTTCAACTAAATATAAAACGTAAAGCACATTAAAAAATATACTCAAGATAATATTTTCCTATATAATTAGGATTAATAAAAAAATATATTAGTTAAATTTTAAACAATAACCAATAATGTAACATTGAAACTTATATTTGAGAATTACATATACAAAATTTCATTAGTTCAAATAAATATTTTAAAATGTACTAAAAATAAAAGAGATATTCAATTGAATCAGAATACTAAGTATATTACCACAAAATTTGGAGTTAAAAAAAATTACATTCATAAATACATTCATTTAGCATCATCCATGATTCTTGGCATTGCATGCGACTTGATTATCTTGCCAATGGGTACTAAAATTCTGATGATGGGGTTTTCTCGAAGAAATAGTAAAGATGAGGTCTTTTGGGAGTCTCTTTAGGTGAGAAAAAATTTCTAGACTTTACCAAAACGTTGGAATGGTGTATGAATGATTTTTGTAATGGAAGGTTTTTGTGTCTTATTACTTGAAATTGGAAAATCATATCATCATTTCATAATTGCCTCATGTATATTAATAAGAAATTTGGTTCATAAGTGACAATCTCTGATGATGGAATCTCCTTGGGGAGCTTGTAGAGATGAGCTTTCTCGAGAAATTTCCTAAGTAAAAAGAAATTTTTAGACTTCATCAAAAAGTTGGGATAGTCTTATAAAATTTCTTCGAGATGAAGATTTCATTCATGCATTGATAAAAAACTATAACAATAAATAATAATTAATTAATAAATAAATAATAAAAATAAATTAGAGCAAAAAGAATCAT